CATAGTTTAAAGAAGACACAGTTTTGATGTTATGTGCTTCAAATGCAAAAGAAGAGAAACATTTATACTCAAAGATACATTTATAAAGAAACAATAGCCTATAAAACAGACATTACATTACATCTGATACCATATTTTATGAGAAGTTCGTGATATTATGTTTTATCATAATATCACGATATAATAACTGTTCTGGTATCACAGAAATATTTGTGAAAATGGGCGCTTTTTGTTGTTCACGCAGCTGCTTTACATTATGTGATTCACTATATCTTTTATTGAGGAAATATATATTAGGATTTGATATGAAATCAGTAGTATTGACTAGATTCTGTTTCAACTTTTTCAGCTCAACATCTATCAAAAATCTCGCATTCATATCTACAAAATATAATATCTTAAATTTTGCCATAAAAATACTTGTTCGGATATATATGACATAATATATTTAACGTAATTATAAAAGCATATAAAACAAATCAAAAGCATTAACAAATAATTAATAATACTTAATAATAATTAATAATAGTATAATAATAATAATTAATAATAGAAATTTTAAACTTTGAAAACGATTTTTAACAGGTATTAATAAATTATCAAGACCTGGAATAATTTCTAATTTGATATCGCGAAAACAAATAATAAAAATAAATAACATAATCATCATTTATATCAAGTAACTACACTATCTGACTAGAAAAAGTACTTTTTATTAAAATATAAATGCTTTCTAATATTTTGATCTTTGAAATTTGATTTTCTTCTGAAAAAAAAAATAAATTTGAACAATTGAGTTGAAATACATGCACAACTATTTGACATACAATTTGAATACAAGGCTGTTGTCTTAATTACAAACGAAATAAAATTAAATGCTAATAGATTTTGCTAAATATAAATAGTATAAAATGCACAGATAAAGAAGAAAAAAAGAGCATTTAAAAGTACTCATACACGGGAGAAAAATAGGTTTTACTAGAATTGTGATTGCAATAGTTTTTTTTTTATATTGCTCATTATTAATCATATAAGTGAAAAATAAGGATTTTCAGGTAAAAGTAAAAATAAATGCAATATTGAAATATTTATAAGTTGATGAAAATCATAACCAATGGCATACTAATATAGTTGTTATCAATAGCTGTTTAAATTAATAGAATATGAACTGATTACGAAATAAGTAAATGGGAATTATAAAAATTTTTTAAATCATAAAACAAATTTTCTGCAATAATAACGTTTATTAAAAAAAGCTTAGATGTAATGTTATTTTAAATTTATAAATAAGATAAAAAAACACAAATCTTAAAAAACAAAAAATTTTAATTTCAATGAGAAAAAAAAAATCGAAATTTACAGTATTACTTAAGTTAAAATCACAATTAATTAATTCGGGAAGTATTATTTTTCTTATTAATTACTCGTATTAGATAAAAAAAAATATTTGCCATATAATAAAAAATTTACATTTTATGGTTTATTTTAGAAATAAATAAAATTAAATCACTACATTCAGAATTGAAAAAAGATTTTGATTTCTTCAACAATTTTAAAATTTGTTGCTCATTTTTGATATACATCAAATAAATTCATTCATAATCGGAAGAAAAGTTCTCCGATAAAAATTTTTTTAATAATTCAAATTTTAAGGTTCATTTTTGGTGTTAATTAAACTAAATTAATACAATCAGAATTAAAAAAAAAGGTCTTAGTTTAAATCCTTTTAATAATTCAAAATTTATATCTCATTTTTGACATTATTTAAATTTAATTACTACAATCAGAATTGTTTTTTTTTAAAAAAAAAGTTTTTACTACACTGTTAGAAATTTCTCGAAAAAATAGTTAAATAACAATTCGATTAATTGTTATTTTACCATATTCAAACAAAATAGTCAAATAACCGTAAATAAGATGATATTCAAGCTGCTAACTGTGGGAAAATCCTTTTATTAAATGCGTTCACCTAATACGGTTTTAACAATCAGAATTTTATCGCTCCAACTAAGCCCATCTAATGCAGCGACTTAGTTCATTTCAGTTGCGTACATATAATAACCGAGAGGGCCAATCTGTCAACTTCAGGACCGGCAGAACGTGTGTCCGAGTCCTAGCGTTGACACCGGAATATTTCATCCACTCCCCTCAACGAATGATGAGTTTCCAGGGTCCTGTACTGTCCAATATGTGTCCTGCACTTTTCAATACTTTACTAAAGCCTAGCTCCTCTGTCCAGTTAAATTTCTTTTTTATGGTTTTGAAACCATGCTAGTTGTAAATGGTTACAAAACCGTATAGTTTTATTTTCATGGTTTTGTAAACATACTAGTTATAAACGGTTTGAAAACTTTAAAGGTAAAACATATTCTTTAACGTAAACTTTACAGTTAATTGGATTAACAGACCGGTTAATTAACCATAATTTTAGAATAAAAATTCTAACAGTGTATGGGTTCTGTAAGTTCCTTATTAACACTAACATAACAACTATATGATTATAAGACAGAATTCAAGATTAGTAAATGTATTTTTAATCTTTTTGAAAGATAATATGTTCCCAATTCCACCATAAGATCAGAAAGAGCAAACTTTTTGAGTTTAGTTGTAATCAATGTGTTGTAATATACTACACATACAAGCAATAGGCCTAAAGACGAAGTAAATTAAATGCAAGTAGTAAATATTTCATTTTGAAAATAATGAAATAAACACGCGTGTCATATGAAAAGGACATAAATTATGTTGAATGTGAATTTGATAATGTTCTTATAGTATACACTAGAAAAAGAAAGACTTTTTTGTTATATGAAAAATGCATAAAGACTATGATAATGGAATGTATAATTTGTAAAATATAGGATTTGTAAACCAAGTACTACTTAATAAGTAATTTAATTATATTTAAATAAATAGAATATAAGTCTGTAAAAGTAGCAATATATATTCCTACAAAGTTCTGCCACAATGAAAAACATTAGGGATGCACATCTTGTCTTGAGATATTGTTTTATTGACAATAATATCTCAAGATTTATTATCATTTTCTTAAGAAAAATGTTTTTTCTGAAACTAGATAAAATATGTGGAATATAATTAGATATTTTACCACGTAATTATAAACATAAAAATAAGAAAAATTATAAGATAACGAATAAAAACTATTCAGCTCCATTTTGATTTAAATCAGCAAACATAATAATTGTTTTAAAACAAAAATAAGAAGAACATTTTTTCTTGTTTTACTAATATTTTTTCTTCAAAATGAGAATAATAAATAAGTTGTAACTGATTCCCTAATTGCATAAAACGCGATAATTTTAAGAAGGTTTCTTTACCGCATATTTAAATGCTCTGACGTGCCAAACACTTTATAGCAAAATTTTAAACGAAAATAGTTTTTGTTAGTTTCTATTAAAAGTATTGCTAGTTTCATTTAAGCAAAAATATTTAATGGTGATATTTAATTGATGGTTTAACAAATGGTTAGCTTTCTATAAGACTTTCCGTAATCACTTTCCTTAGCATGTATATTTAGACTCCTTGTGAAAAATATGAGATCTTAAATTAATATTTAAGGAAAATAGAACTTGTTGCTCGTTTCACAAATTAATATTTGAGGAAAAAACAAAAGCATGATAAATATTTAACGAATTTCTACTGATAGAAAACATCAAAATGGATTTGAATGCCTGATTTGGAGGTGTTTCGAATTCGGAGCCTTTCAATTTTTTTCTGTCATCTCCGGCAAATAAACAGGTTTTGATGTTTTCATTTCCGCTCTCGTCAGTGATGTTATTCAGTCGTTAGATTTCTATAACGTTTTTTTTGTTGAAATATTAATTTAATTCCAATAGATATTGTACTTTTATGACTTTATTATTTAGGACATGGATTCTAAGTGTGATCATTTATCACGGAAGATCTTTCAATTGTTAACTCCTTGTACGCACATTTAAAATTACGAATTAATATTGGTGGATTTAATTTTCAATAAATGTCTGATTGGCTGTTAAATATCCTTCTTATTAAAATAAATTTATAAAATATGCTGCCAAGATGAATTTCTCTCTTAATCAATAAAATAAGTTCTCAAAATCTAGTAAATAAATTTCTATATGTTAAGACTTCACTGATCAAACTCTAGATTTCAATCACATTCATTTCTTGCTAAGATGACAGCTAATATCTCTGTTTGATTCAGTAAGATCGTAAATTAAAATTTTTATCAATTAATTAATTTTAATTAGTGAAATAAAATTAAAATCAAAACTATAAATTTTTTAAAAATTTTAGATCCAAGGTTGATTCAAAAAGAAGTTGGCAGTTTCAAGAGAAATAATATTTTGGTTTGTAATGATCAGGATACAAAATGTTTACTCTCAAACAAACATAAAATCAGGAATAGGGAAAACATGTATGCTACAAAAATCATTAATGATTTCTCTTAATTTAACAGAACATTTTATTTTCCAATTGCATGGTAAATTGATTCAATTTGAAAGGAAATAGAGTTCATATTAAAACTACTTAATTATGTCAAATTTGAACGATAGTATAATTTAGAAGTACCAACCGTATGCTGTAATTGTTTACCAGTATTTTTACTAGTAAGCAAATAAATTTTGCCTTGAAGTTGAAGTCAAAGGTAGTAGAGTAGCGGCTAAAACCGTACTTTACAATCACTGATATTGACATAAGATCTTTTATAGCCTTGCAAAAATAGAAAAGTTTAAACTCTCGTATAAAAACATTTAAATTTTTGCGTTTATACAAGTTGTTCTGTAATTATCGCTCTAAATGTATGTTTTCAAGACTCTTTGTAAAAATTCAAGACAAGAAATATACACTTAAGGTCACGAGATAAAAGGTAAAGTGATAGAGGGAAACAAAATTTTTTAACAAAATCTGACGAATAATTATGTAAGACGGTGTATGGAAAACAAAACCACCTTGATTAGTTTAAGAAATTAAAAGGCATTTCCTGTTGTTGNATATGTTGTTCCTACTAAATCGAAGTAGTTGTGTTTTTTTCATATTATACCCAATTATGTCAAATTTGAACGATAGTATAATTTAGAAGTACCAACCGTATGCTGTAATTGTTCACCAGTATTTTTACTAGCAAGCAAATAAATATTGCCTTGAAGTTGAAGCCAAAGGTAGTAGAGTAGCGAAAACCGTACTTTACAATCACTGATATTGACATAAGATGTTTTATAGCCTTGCAAAAATAGAAAAGTTTAAACCGTCATATAAAAAAATTTAATTTTTTGCGTTCATACAAGTTATTCTGTAATTATCGCTCTAAATGTATGTTTTTAAGAATCTTTGTAAAAATTCAAGACAAAAAATATACACTTAGGGTCACAAGATAAAAGGTAAAGTGATAGAGGGAAATTCTTTTTCTTTTGACAAAATAATTTTTTTTTTGGACAATTTTTATGAAAGACGGTGTATGGAAAACAAAATCACTTTGATTGCTTTAAGAAACTAAAAGGCATTTCCAAATTCCCCTTATGCTTTCCTTTAGTTTTCATTGTGAAGCGTAGTTTCCTTTTCTTATATCCTGTATTATTTGATAACGGTTCGTTCCATTTTGATAACGTTTTCCTTTTTCTCATTCTTTTTAATAGTGATTTACGAACTCTAAATTTTAAAAGCGGAGAATCCTGTACATATTTTACTCAATAAACTTTTTAAACGAAAGATATATTTACGAGTTTATGAAACTGCCACTTTCTTTTTGTACAATCTAATCCAATAAATGATCTAAAAGGAATAGTTTTGCCACAACAAATATTACCATAATCTAATCTCCCAGTTTCACTATTTGAAAGTAGAAAGGATTATAAAAGCAGATATGTAATCCTTTACAAATTTCATCAATTAAGTGACAGACTTTGATTTACTCTCTGAATTTTCAATGAGACATATCATACCGGGATTATTGCTATATTAATGTAGTTTTACAATGGTCATGGGAAAAGTGAATTAAGTCATACATCAAATGATCACTAATTTCATAAAAGAGGTTAAGGAAATCGACAATAGGTATCGTATAACTTGTATTACTGCATTTAGCTTGAATTTATATTTGAGTGAGAAAGTTTTCCGTATCTTCAGATGCACAAAATGACATTTTCATCATTATAAGCTCGACCAAATTATTTAGAATGATTATCCATTAGCATAGAGCTCTATTATATACTCTTGAAATTTTAAAACAGTTCAGCAAATAACAAGTGTGGCAGCCACACTCAAGAGATATTGGCAGGAAATATAGCCTTCAGAGTTTTGGCAGCGTGAACTAGTGTGAGAAATGTATAGTGCTAGTAAACCCACGTCACAGGAACCCATTGTGTCATATGGTTCACTTTTTCAAGCGTTTTCTCTAGGGTCCGTATGGTTTCTTCGATATCATTATTTACAATGGTCAAATCGAAGAAATGACCATAAGCCTGCCGTAACAGTTCACTTTCTTTAAATAGCCTCTCCAAACTTCCATCAATCTAAAACACAAAGCAATACATATATGAATCAAAATGGTAAACAAAACGCTTAAATTGAAATACACTAGTTAATTTAAAACTCTTGGGCAACAACGCAAAGGTTATGGAACACTTGGACTCTTCAGATCGAAGATTTTAAATTTTATTTTCCTTGGTGCCAAAAATGCTTCAAACTGGTACGGATCAGGCTGTAACAATATTCTAGAAGAGAGTGACGTGAAGCAAGGTTCTTTTTGCCGCAAACTCAATAGAAATAACCATGGGTGAACGAATTAACTGGTTCGAAATTTAAAAAGTAGGTTCAAGAATTTGATCGGATATCTGTCTTTAATAGAAGGATAGAGCATAAAAAAAAACTTAAACTGCTTTAATCCTTTCTAGTGCAATGCAGCCAATCTGGCAACACTAATTCAACAAATGTTACAAACCACTAGAAATATAAAACTAATTGCTTTTAAACGTTTGGCAACCACTATTCGATAAACAACAAACAGCTAAAGTATGTCGCTTAACTTTGAACGTGCTGTTTAAGGCCGCACAGGCTAATGTCTTCAATTGAATTTTGCTATTCCGAAATGGTGAAAAATACATAAAATAACTTAATATCAAAACTCAACGGATTAACCAAGCAGATTTAATCTCCGATTACGGTTCAATAGACGACGGAAATGCATGTTTTCGCCAAAGCATCTTGGTAATGTTTCAGTCTGCCCTGATGATACATCAGTGATGACGATTATTATCTTGGAACTTTGATATTTCTTTAAACGTGACAATAACGGTATTCTAAAAAGTGCTTTCACAATAAGTTCTGAATACCATGTCTTGTGATAAATGTCGAATTTGCAATAATTATCGTCAAAGAAAATTTCTCAAACACTACCTCCGGAATTATCAAGAACAAGAATGATAATGTTGAGAGCGTTATGGTTAACGATAAATATCGAATATAATATTTTTTTCAGCGATCAATTTCGCGAGGATTTATTGTCCAATATAAAAATAATGTAAATTGTAAGAATATTGCCGAATATAAAGAGATACTGTAAATGTGCTGTATAAAATGTTTTTTTTTGCTTTGATGTTCATTTTGTCAAAATAAGCATAGACGGAAGAAAGGTAATAATAATCTTTTGAAAAATTTGGACGTGCTTCTCTTAATTTAAATGAGATAAAATGAATAATTACAAAATTAGCAATAAAGATAAATATTAAATAATAGAAAGTTGTCAAAAATTCGAAATCTTACATCTTGCATGTTTCCTAAGGAAGGAGCTGCAATGAATACGGTGTAAGGAGTGTATTCGGATGATCTTAAAATCTTCAATGCCTAAAATAAAATGAAATGAGAAAAAAAATTATATTCGTGGAAAAGGATAAACGAAATCCATAATACCGTTTTCAAATCAATTTATCGAATTAAATTTTAGCATTACATTGCACGCAAAATTGTAGGTTCGAGTCTATTCAAAATACTTTTAACATAAAATAACCAAAAATGTTTTTACAGAAGAATGTTTAATCAAAATGAATTAATTGAACAAATCTATTCAATAATTATAGATAATTATTTAAACTGTAATACTTCGAGTTTAAATTATGTCTACTTGAACGTAAATAGTCAGAGTGATTCGATTAAGTTGAAGTTACAGAAGATCCGCTACAAAAATTTGATTGGTTCATCTAAAAAAAGAAATTTTTTTAAAAAAGTCATGGGGTGTAGAAATTAGACAGTATTTTATTCGTTGAAAAGTAATCTCAATAACCTGGCCTTTACCGTCGTAAGGGCTTTCTTCGTGCACTTAGGCCTTTGTCAGATGAAATCTCAAACTCAGGCTCGGGTTAAAAAAAAAAAAAAAAAAAAAAAAAAAAAAAAAAAACCTATCTATTTTGCTCTACGGCAGACTTGTATTTAAAATCTTCCTGAAAAAATGTTAGACCTAGAATATTTTAAACATATAATACTTTTTTTTGCATGTTTTTGTTGAAATACTAGTTTTCTAAAGATCTTTACAGTTTATTTTAACAATGAGATAAGTTGTTGTTTAGATTTTTTTAATAAAAAATAGTTACTTCCTTTTTATTTTAACAAGATGGTAATATAATTATTAAAAGAATATAATGAAAACTTTAGTTGTCTAAAAATCATTTCCATTCTGACAGAGATATGAAGCTTTTGTTCGTGTCCAGCTCTTTCCGAAATTTTTTTTTAAAAATTTGCAATCGATATTATGAAGCGATTAAAAAATTTCTGCATGTTCTTATCGAAACTCAATTGCTGTTCTACTAATAGCGTTGGATACGGTGAACCTAGCTTGCTTGCAATTGACTTTAAAGAGACAATGTCTGGCACAAAGAAGAAAAGATGTTTCGAAAATTTGTCTCTGGAAAGGCAATCGCATCTGTAAATCTTTAGGGTTACGTTGCTTCAGTACATCCTCAATGTTACGTTACATCAGTACATCCTCAGGGATACGTTGTATCAGTACATCCTCAGGATCACGTTGTATTTGGACAACCTTTAAGAAGGATGAGGAAGTCTGGCGACTAAAGGGGACATTTTCTTACAGTTGCTTATTTTAATGATTTGCGGCTTTAAGACAATTAAAAAAATAAAACAAATAATTCTTTGTATTTTACACGAAATTCGGTAACAAGATAATTAAAAATGAAATCACTGTCTGTATTTCATGCGGTTTTTCACAAGACAGTTTAAAACGTATTCTCCAAATTTTCGATGTCGATTTGTTTCAAGCAAAGAGTGCCAAGAAAGCTTCAGTTAGTTGAAAAAGGAAATAAAATAATACTAATACTCCGCATATTGGATATAAAAATTGTTGCTAATATATTTTATTGTTTTTTTTAAATGTAAATTAACACACCAATGTTTAGTATGATGAAACATGCTAATTGAATTCCAAGTGCCATTTTTTTCTCTCCAAAAACTCCTTGTTGTCATAGGTAAATATAAACCATTTATTGTTTGAGTAACATAACTATCAATCTTTTTTGAAAAAAAAAGTACTATTCAACTTAATTTCAATTTTAGATACATGAAGCTAAAAAAAATTGAATCGAATTAACTTAAGCTAAAGAAAAAAAGCTAATTACTTGAGGTTCAACATCTAGTATAGCCATTTTTCCTTCAGCGTGTAACTGTCTTATGGTTTCTAATTTAGTGCCATACATAGCTTCTTCATGTGTGCCGTATTCAAGGTATTCATTAGCAGCTATATCAGCCATCATTTCTTCGTGGGATACAAAGAAATAGTTTTTTCCGTTCTCTTCACCTTTCCTCATCGGCCTTGTTGTATCTGATGATAAATGCAATCATATAAAGGCATTTTTATTTGCAATCAATTAAAAAAGAAAATTCAACATTAGTTTACTTTTGTCTATGCTTATGGTAGATCTTAAAAAATAATTTCACCAACAAATTAATTGAATATTACTATCTAGTGTTAACACAATCAGTTCTCTCAATGGGATATCTGCAAGGGACATAGTGTTGATATCTAAATCCTGATAGGCTGTTGAAACTTGGTATTTGTTTACGTTATCAACTGTTCTTCCCATTTTAATTTGAGAAAACCAAGCCCGTCAAGTACCAATTCTCTTAAGATTTCTCATTCAGATTCATTTCAGATTACAGATTTTTCTGTTTTTATCCATTATTCTCGGACTGTAAAAAATTCCCGTTCTTTTTATAGAATTTCTTTGTACATCCGAAGGTTTAATGCTGTTTTGTTGACAAAACAATTTTTCTCTGTTTTTAATCCTAATCGTAAACCGATTACAATCGACAGTTCAAATTCTAGTTTTTGTCATGCAGTTTTACGATAACTATTTTTTTTCAAATCATTTTACGATTATTTTCTACATTTGCTCTTATTGATCATCAATTATTTAATGGTTTGGAGCATCGTATAAATAAAACTGCAATTCGAATTTAATGTCAAAATGATACTCTATCTGATTAATATATTTCTTCAGATATAATTTTTTGGTAAATTAAATTGCCAGACATTTTTATATGGGTGGGCTACTGTATTTTTAAACATTTTCACACTTTAATATTATTTCAATACGCAAGACTCAATAAGAGAAATACAATTAAGGATTTTTCGTCATACTAACATACTAGAACTGTGGTAGCTCAGATGACAGAGTGTTAGCCTCCCAAGGAGGTGAACCAGATTCGAACCTCAGTGTTGACAGGTATTACGAATGCCACTCCGGTTCGTACTGACATAATTATTTTATAGAATTTTTTGTTAAAATAACAGAGTTTGTTTGTAAAAACAACAGTTCTTATCTGGTTAAAAAACAGGTGTCTGCTTTTAGAAAACAGTATTTTTCTGAGAAATAAACGATCCATTTACGTGTGATTGCCACACCAGCTGATAGTATTTTTTCTGTAAATTTAAATATTTTTTTTTACAATTTTATTTTGTGCAATACTGATGATATTGTTATCACGAATGTAAAAATAGAAATAGATAAATTAAATATTCTTGACATAAATACATTAAAAAGCTGAAGAAATTTAGCAAAAAATCACTTACGTGGAATTGGATAAGCGTACTTATCAGGATGATGGCTGATGAGAGTATTTTTTATGTGTCTCCTACCAACACCATGAGCCCCTATGAAACGAATTATAGGAATTAAAAATTGATTTAGAACGCAATTTTTAAAAAGAAATATTTAAAGAAAAAAATTTACCTAATAAAACTAAAGTTTTTCTAGTGAAATTGGAAAGCTTGACCACCTCTTCGTAGGTGACAACGTCGAGCTGATCGAAAACGGCATTGTGCTTGGCTAAGTATTTGTCTTTAAAATGTTTCTTCTTGCGGGAAAATATTGAGCAATTCACTAGATGGAGAGAAAATTCATCAGATCGAATTATTTTTCAACCAAAGTTAAAAACGAAAATAGAAAGGTATGATATAGCATGAAAATATATGAATAAGAAAACATAAAAAGTTCTCGATTTTTTGTTTTGTTTTGGTTCATAAGTTTTTATTTCTATCACATATTTTAAAATTAAGTTCACTATAGAATAATCACTTCGCAAAAAATATATGGTGCGGTTGTTGCTTATATTCAAGCAGCTTTCTTTCTTTTTTTTTTTTTACATGCAACACTCTCTTGGCACAATAAAAAATAAGTTCGTGCTGTGTTTGATTCCTGATAAACCGATCGAAATTCATCGCTGATAAACGGAAATAAGGGAATTTTATCTGAATACACTTTCAAAAAGTTTATGTCACCGTTGAACCATAATATCGGTACCTATATAACCATAATCTCAATCAGTACGGTGCAAAAAGGCAGCAAACTTAAATGGTAAAATATTTATAGCGCAATGGTATGTTTCTATTTAAGTTCGACCATAGAATCGTGCAATCAAAATTAGAAAGTTCGATTATATGGTTCAATTTAGCTCCATATTTAAGTTGGAGTGGATTTGAACGATATTAAGGTTCAAAACACTCCATGATTACAGTGTATTAAAATCATCATTAAAATGCGTGTTTGAAACGAACATTCTCTTTCAACAGATAAAATAAGTCATCTTAACCCATCATCCATAAATTCCGGACTAGGTTCTTATAATCAATACCGATAATCAAAGTTGGAAAAACATTTGGCCCAAAAGCTTTAGTGCTTCAACGATATTAACAAAATAAAAGGCTTTCTGGTCGAAATGTTAAGGCTTAGAAATATGAAAACTACTTACAAAAAAAACGCTTGACCAAAATGGTGAGAAAGTAGAAAAAAATAAAAAAATGCCAACGCTTTGAAAAATAAACATTATTAAAAACAAACGTTTCTTTGTATTTTCTTAAACTAAAATCCTTTTTCAAAAATTTATTTTTGAAATAAAATTACAACATTTCTCATTCAAACTTTCTAGACCACATACATGAAGTGTAGATTTAATAATTTTCATGACCTTGCGAACAAATAATGCATTCCAGTTGTTTTTAAATATATTTAAGACATTTAATATTTAGTAACAGCATTTAGAATTTAGCATAGCGATAGAGTTTTTAATCATAATATTTTGAGTTATATTCTAGAGAAGGATGTTAGTTCTTTTAAATTGATGTTAAGTTCTGAATTTTTTAGAACTCAAATAATGAGGGTAAGTAAATTAGATCAAAGCGTTATTTATTAGCAAGTTGTTTCTTTTTCTATTTGCCAATTGTAATTTGCTAATTTCTATTTGCTAATTGTTTTTGAATTTGCTAATTGTGTAGGTTTCGTGTTATTCATTATTTGGTTAGTAAACTGATAGCTTAATTGCTATTATGAGAAAGACTAGCTTAATTGCTATTATGAGAAAGACAATCTTCTAATTTGTTAATCTTTAAACGTAACTTATGCAGGAAATAATAAAATAAAGGAAGGGAAAACGGGAGAAATAGGAGAATGAATGAATCATGAAGAAAAAGGAAATAAGGGATCAATTGAAGATATAAAAAATGGAAACAGAGAAAGAGATGGAATCCAAGAAAGGATATTTTCTAAACTGAATAATTGATCAGCTGACAGAAGATAACGCGTATCAAGAAAAAAAATTCGATACCAATACACTCAAGGATATATCATGAAAGCATTGGTTCGAAATTTAAAAATTTCAAGTGGACAAAAAAATGTCATTGTGATCACATATTTAAAAAAAAAAGAAGTAAAACCGAAAAATATTTAAGTGTCATTCAGAAAGAAACGTAAATTTTATATTATTATTTTTTGGGGGGTCAAAAACATAAGTCTAATTTTTTAAAAGCATAAATTTATTAAAAACAACTGTCAAAAAATATTTATAAAATGGAAAAATTAAGTCTCCTAAAATTTACTTGGATACCTCAAAACGATTCGATACAAAATAACCCCATCTATTCATTGTGTTGAATATTGAATGTTACATTTATTAATTAAAGTATGCGCATTTATTAATTTAAATCCCGGAATTTGATTCGAGGATACCTAAATGTTACCTTTCAGAATATTTTATTACTGTGTCTAAGCATTCTTGACATAGAAAACTAAAAACTTGTTTTTACATGTATGCTTCTAAAAAAAATATAAATAAATTAAAATTTACGTTTTTGGTTTCGTTAAAATGAAACTTAACTCTTATTTCAGGAGACCTAAATGTTTTTTAATTTGACTAAAATATTTTTGGTAGATTTTAATCAATTTAAAATTTTAAATCAAAATTTTATTAAATTTTTTTTTGTGAGTGTAAGTGATACACTTACCACTCCTAGAATTCTATTACAACTTCAGACCATTAATAAACGTATCCGAAAAAAGGGGACAAATACAAAACTAGACAAGTAGGTGTCAAGAACAGCTGACTTGTTACTTTCCCAGGGAACGTCATAAATTAGAAACTTTTGTAGTTACAACTCTCTCTCCTCTCCGACATTTTCTACCATTTTTTTTTTAAAATGTCAGTTTGCTATCCCTTAATATTGTTAATGATCCATTCTATTCTACAGCGCCAAGAATAATGATTTGACTTAATACTCGCATTTCCTTTGACGTTTCGAGTAGGTACTACAACTTCTTTTTTTTTCTTCTTCCAACTGAAAACGGCAATTCTCTTTTCCGATAAATTTACGCAAATAGAAAAAAAAAAAAATGATGGAAAGACAGGATGTTGTAGTTTTCCCGAGAAGTGTATAATTAACTCAGCGAATTGTTAATGGTTTAAATATCTGTTAGAGAATTTTGAGAACATTTGTAATAATTACTTTCATCAGAAGCAAATGAATTACACATTTTTTTGAAAAAAAAAATGTAAATCTCAGAGTAATAATAATAATAAAAAAAAACGATAAGAGATACCATGTTATTTTTAAGTAAGTGTAATTGATAGCTGTCCTGCATAATTGAGGAATAAAGCAATAAATGTTCAATAAAGCAAACAGAGAAAATAAAAAAGAGAAATAGTTTGTGAAATGCTATATCAAAAAAGCATGCATGTAAAGTGTGCAACAAAAAATAATTACCCTGAATAACTTTTGATCTAATGATCGGATTTTCATGTTCCAGGATTCTATCTTAATGGTTCAAACAAGTGGCCTAAAACATGCTAATTAATTAGTGCAGACGATATTTTAAGTAACGAAATCAGGCACTATACAGACGGAATAACTAAATTTATTTTTGCATAGGATTATCTTTGGTTAAATAAAATTTAGAGTTGTGTGCAGGAATTTCTTGTTTCGCTTAAAAAATTCTCGAGACATGGCGATATACGCAAAAAAGTAAAACTAATATTAAGAGGTCCAAACTTTTGACAGCATTCCTGGCTCAGTTATTAGATCCATATATCCCAGATTACAGCTACCTCCTATTTGGGGGGGGGGGTTAGGAATATGAATTCGTCGAAAACAAAAAGGCGCTTTTGTGTCCGACTTCGTAACTTAAAATATCGTCCGCACTACTTTATTAGGTTATCTGAGGTCACCACCGCGAATCATTAAGATTGAGTTCTGGTAAGGAAAATCTGATTATTAGATCAAAAGTTATTCAGGGTAATTGGCTTTTTTTAGGATTGTACAGCTAAAACAAATATCTAGAGTAGCCTATGTTTTTTCAACAGATTATAGGCTGAATTACGAAACTCTGTACGGTATAAAAGGTAAAACGTCTACGACAGAGATGTTTGCACAAAAAGTTTCAAAATCATAAAAAAGGTTTTGCAAGAAGAAAATAAAATGAAGAGCAAATTCTTTTAACGTCATTGATAACTGTGAATGTTGATTTTAATTGTAAGTTGTCAAAAAGGGAAATAAGGGGCTACGGTAGATATGTGGTCAACAAGAGGCATATTCTTTTGAAGTGAGCAGCAAGATTTTTAAAAATAGAGAAACTTTAATAAAAATTAAGGAACTTTTTATTGAGCAAGAAGTTAACTTAGCTGGTGGTCGCCCACAAATTGCTTTACAAAACAGTAGACTCTAATTTTTTTACATTTCTGTATTGGCATCCAGAAATAAACAAAAGTATCTTCCATTTAAACCTTTTTAGCATAATATAGCTAACTTAATCAGCAGAAAAATGTCTTTTTTTAAAACAATTTTTTGTCATAATAGCGGAAGATTAGTAATTTTAACTCCTTATAAGCATACAATTTATCGTTAATATTAGCAGTTTGATGGTAAATTGAAAATTTATCGCAATAACGTACTTTTCGCAATATTCTGTACTCGTTATATCGAACTTTTACTGCATATTTTATCAATACTATGTAAAATGCCTAGCCCTCACCTTGATACAAACTAATACATAGTAGCCTAAGTTACTTGCTTATTATTTCTCTAGAATTCCAAAATAATTAATAAAGGTTTGTTCGCATAATACCAAACTATGACTTGAGTTGCTCAAAACAAACCTTGTTCGTTCTTTGAGCTTTCGATGGCCAAGCAGGCTGTTCTCCACTCCTGAAGCTCTGGAGAAGGTATGAGTCCGGCCGTGCCGTCCGATCCTTCCTTTCTCGCCTGCCACCAATTGTGGTCATCTTTGCTGATGATTTGCAGAATATCACCCGTTTGGAATGCAATACCAGCTTGTGCACAAGGGATTAGGTCATCTTCGTTGGGATCATAATCAAATTGAGCTCGAACATAGATCTGGAAATGACACAACATCCAATATAATAGTCCGGTCAATTATTATACGTATGCTAAAACGCTTATTGTAATGGAGCAAGATGTAAAAGTGAAAGGGAGAAGTAGGTGTAGGCGTGAAGCATTAAAGCAGAGCAATATATCGTGAATAACAATATGTTTTTAATATCGTGTAAACGATATTTTAAAGTGTATTTATGTAATATATAGTTAATTGAGTACGTAATATATGAGTTAATTTGACAACGATGTACGTTGAATACGATAACATAGAGATACTTACTGAAAACAATAATATTGTGACAGTAATCAAACACGATAGTATGGAGGCAATGGTTGAATTCGATAATATCGCGATACTTATCGATGATCCAGTCATGAGCGGGCTAGTTTCACTACTTTTTATATTATAATTAAAAGTTTTTAAGAAAAATTAAAAAAAAAACTTATTTTTCACTAAACAAAGAAAAAAAATTACCCAAGATAAAAAAATAATGTAAATTAGTGAAATGATGAAAGATCCCGTTGCATTATTAAACGTCGTGTAATATCGCTATAAACAATTAAACAATGCTCAGCATTGCGATATAGTGTTAAATGAATGGAATATAGCGATGTATTGTAATTTACATTTCAATATAAAAGTTGAAAAGTCTAATCTGTAAAAGTTGAGAAGTTTAAAATAAAAGAGTAAAATATTTAAAAATGATAAAGTGAAAGATTTCAAAACAAAATTGTGCGGAAGAGCCTTTAAATAACGTAGAACAATTTTGTATTCGCACTTTTGAAGAGCACAAATGCAAAACATTGTTTAAAATTGAATTAAACGCTTAATTGTGCAGCATTTTTTCTATCAGTTTCAATATGAATTAAATTCTATCAAGAACCGAATTTATCCTATCTTAAAATATTAAAAAAGAAATTTTTGAAATATGAAAATAATGAATATAATGTTTATAAATTGCAATGAATATAATGTTAAATAAATATAATGATTATAAATTTAATAAATGATTATAAATGAATATAAATGCTAATGAATATAATGTTTATAAATTACAGTTTATAAATTGCTCTCTGATATTTTAACAAATTATTTATAAAAAAGTCACTGACATGCATCGTTAACAAAGTATACATATTTTATTTTTAAACAAAGTTTAATATCTAAAATTTTATAAAATTTATGTAACAAATTGTAATTTACAACGGCAATCACTATAATTTCTTATGAAATATAGGTTATTTGCTGATTAAATTTTTAAAGTTGTGTTTGATATAATTCAATTTCATTAATCTACATTTTGAATGGTCATATATTTAAGAAAAAATGTAAGTAATAACATAAAGAAGGAAATGATAATTTATCACCCCTTTTAAGTTGACTACTAAAGAAATGTATCGTAAGTAGTCAGCTTTTACAGTATACCTTTTTTTAATGTTAAATATGTATCATTATTTGAGTGCCATCAAATAATAAAGTTAGTCAGAATGTACTGCATTCTGTTTTGTTATCTTACACGAAGAAAGAACTCCGGTAAAATTACCACACTTTAAAAACATTTTTAAGAAAAAAACCCCTTATAATTTTGGAAATAAAACTAAAGTACACGGTATTTAAACAATTCATAAGATAACTGTTTCCGTTTATATGGTAACAGTTTACCGGACATTCTGGTTTTTAAAATTATTATATTCTAATATTCTTATTACCGAACATTTAGTAAAAATACAAAACTGAAAATTAAATTTAACCGAATAAATAGTTTTTATGCCATGATCTACAGTATCTTGATAAGAATACCAAATTTTACAACATTTATTAAATTTTAACGCAAATTATAAAATATAAACGCAAATTATAATATTTCATTGTTAATTCTACCACCAAAGTGTTCGGTAAAAATTACCGTGCTTTTTGGCGTTCTCATAGAGCCAGAAACACGGACAATTTTACCATATACTGTTAGTTTTGACTATACCTTTTTTTCTCAATGTATTTTTGTTGTTTTCGGCATTTTGTCTGTACCTACTCATCTGGTAATTTATCTAAAGTTTATGTGTAGATTATCAGAAAATGATTTTTACATAATATCTAAATTTCCCATCTAATTGATTTTTAGATAACAATATCTAATTGATTTTTACATAATATCTAAATTGCATATCTAATTGATTTTTAGATAATAATATCTAATAGATTTTTACATTATATCTAAATTGCCCATCTAATTGAGTTTTAGATAATAATATCTAATTGATTTTTACATAATATCTAAATTGCCCATCTAATTGATTTTTAGATAATAATATCTAATTGATTTTTACATAATATCTAAATCTAATTGCTTTAAGCCTGTATTGGCGGTGAATGGAGGAGAGAATTTATGCTCTAATGCTTCACCAAACGATTGCTCATTCTTTGATTTTTCGTGTTGATGATCAAAGCAAAGTAGGCAGAACTTATTTTTATTTAATAAAGCCAATAAAATTTATCTATAATTACATTACATTTTATTGTAGTAATTAAAAATTATTCCAAATAAGAGAACGTTATGCCCAAAAATGAATATTTTTAAAAAGCAACTTTTCAAAAACTCGATAAATGATACAATTTTATGGCCGTTGCTTGATTGATACTTGGTGTACCTATATTAAAAATTTTTAGTTATGGCTTAGGTGGCAATGAAAACAGAAACAACTGAATTACGTAGTCTATTAATTGAAAAAAAATATTCTTCTGTAGCATTCATTAAAAACGCGATGAATTATTCTCACTTACACCATCGTGTAACGACTCATAGAACTTGCGTCATTGAAAATATTGCTGATAATTTTGATTCATAATCTATGCAATAAAATTTTATTTATTTAACAAAACTAGTTTTATTGCTATTTACGGTATTAATAATAACCAGATTAGTATCAATGTTTCCTTATGTTATTATAAATATTCGAAAACATAACAATTAATTTAATAACAATTAAAAAAAAACGTCGAATGTTTTTTTTTTTTACAACTTGTTTAGCAAATTTAGTTGTAACTTATATAACCAATATTTGAAGTTGTAAAACACATACCGTAAACCGGGGCGAGTCTACCCATCAAGGGGCGAGTCTACCCATTTTAGTTTTATTTAATTTTCACTATTTTAAATTGCAAATAAAATTTTTTTAACCGACGGAGGACTTAGTTCAGACTCTAAGGAAGATGGCGCTGTAGTAGTTTGATCCTATTTTATTTATTTGGTGTCTTTTTAACCGACCTGTTCAAACGTCTTTTGAGAGATTTGTATTGAAAATCAGCAAACTTTTAGTTGGTGCTCCGTAAGTATATTATTATTATTACTATTTTCACTTTGGTTAAGTGATAAACTTATCTAAGACTAAGATTACATTAATTTTATATAAAAAAAAACAAAAAGAATGTAAGTTTTGCTGTTGTAAACAAAAAGCCAGAATTCGCGGGGCGAGTCTACCCATTCGTATTTAGTTTTAATAAAGCATAATAATATAATTTAGAACTTTGTTTATATTAAAATTAAGTCATTTTAAATGAATTTGAGTATATTATTTTAATTCTGCATTGATAAATTTATCATTAATAAGAAAATTTATAGGTTAAATATAAATGTAAATATAAAATATGTTTATTTTACCTATTTTTTCAATTTTTATATTACAAAATTAACTTTTTTTATTTAATGCAAGTTAAATAAATTATTATTTATAAATTATTATTACCTCCCAAAAGAATGGGAAAAGGATTTTTCATGATTCCCAATGTTTGAATTTCGATTTTGTTAATAATCTTTAATTATTATTATTTATTAATTATTTAATTGTAAATTTATATTAATTTTAATTTATTTTTATCAACAATAATCAGAAAAAAATGTTATTTTATAATGTTAATGATTATAAAAACAAAACTGTGATCAAAATGTGATAATCGATCAAATACTCAATTTGTGTTATTTTATGAATAAAAAAATGGAATATATAATAAAGTTATGAATTTTACTTCATAAATATCCTATATAGTAACTAAAATAACAATTTAATAGTAAAATTTGATTATTTACAATGTTAACATTCATTTTAGTAGAATGGGTAGACTCGCCCCATACGAGAGATTTGTCAGCAGTTCTATAAAAATATACAGTAACAGCGTAACTGTTAATATTTTCTAAAATCGATTTCACAGCTTTAAAGAGGGATAAATAGCGATTCCGAAACACCTATTAAAAGCCTTTTTTCTTTAATATTTACAAAAGTTTGACCACATGAAAGTTGACAAACTGAAAAAATGGGTAGACTCGCCCCGTTTTACGGTATTATTAAATAATATATATATTTATTACTTGAAAATGATCTTAATTCATTTTATTTTTAGGAGATATATGATATTATGATATAGATGATAGTATATTAGGTATATTATGATCTTAATTCATTTTATTTTTATATTTTGCCCCTAGATTACCTTCAGCGCAGGAATTTAAAAGACAAAAATCTTAAAATATGGTAGTTTACTGTACTGCATTTGGTTGTACAGAAAAATTTGTTAAAGATGGATACATTTTACAGGTAAGTTAACTAATCGATTTTAAGAATTACGATTGTTTTACCTACAATATAAGTTTACTTTTAGCATATTCTTATCTTCCTTAAAACATCATGTGAAACACTACTATTATATTTTAATTATTCTAAAATCCAAATTTATGCTTTTAAAATTATCTTAATAGTAAATACAAACGAATAAGAACACAACTAAACCATAAAGTAGCGATTATATAGAATTATTCGTTATCAATAGACATTTTTTAAAAATTTTAATGATAAAATGTAGTCGGCGAATTTTTAGCGGCATTGTTGTTTATTTTCTTCGCCTTTTATTTACGCTATATTTTTTACTTTCTGTAATGTTTCCGTAAGACAGAACTGTTCTATATATTTTTATAATTTCAGTAGCTTGTTCTGGATCAGTTTTGCTTACAATAACAAAAAAGATGAATACAAAACGATTCGATAAATAAGGCAGAGATTTTTAACACTTAATTATTAGTCTTTACTGAAATTATTAGGTCTTTTTCAATTGACTTAGTTAGATTCTTTTTAATTACAAGAATACATAAAAATAGAGAATATTATCAGAAGTATTAAGGCTATTTAACCTTGTAATAGTTCAAATAAAATTGTTAAGTTAAAAAGAGGGATTTGTATTGTTTTTAATGTGACGTAGGATTTCCTTTTCAATTTTTATTTTATTTTTTGATTTCTTGACATGTCTTACATCCTTTTTTGTAAGTGTTTTGAAAAATTCCCAGTACCAGGAAAGGAATCCATGATTTTATAGGACATTACAGCATTGCTTGCTATCTAAGATTAATTTAAACGTGCTTTTCTCATTATTAAAAATCTCAATAAGGTGAATTCTAAAATGTGATACATACTTCATAATACTTCAACACGAAGAATTAATAAACATAAACAAATTAAAAAAAAAAACTAAATTATTGTAGTTTTTTTTTCAGAATATATAAAACATCATTAGAGGAAATTTTTCTTTAAAATATGTTTTAACAAAGGTAACGCATTATTAATTAATTAAAATTATTTCTTTATTAATTATTAATTAATTAAGAAATAATTTTTAAAATTACCTTCTTTAAAGTTTCAGAGAAAAATACTTTGATTTTTAACTTAAATTATTGATTTTTAACTTTGATTTTTTTAATATTAATTAATTGATTTTTAACTTCATAATACGATCATTAATTTAACTGCCCAATTGGATGTTTCTAATTTTGCAAAACATTAAAAAAATTAATCATAGAATTCTAAAATAATTTTTTATCTAGCAAAGTCTCGCAGGAAAATATCCAATATTCTACTGTTCTGTTAATTTTAACGCTCCTGGATCTCTTAACTTTCCTCCATTGCTTTTATAGATACAAAACACGAATCCACCAGAAATGATAGCACAACGGTCATGCGACACCCTTCTCTCACCGCCAAAATTGCCTAAGGAGAGGGAGTCTTATGTTTGACAGTCTTCTCTCTCCGCCAAAATTGTCCAAGGAGAGGAAGCCTTATGCTTGGGAATATACGACACTCTTCTCTCTCCGCCAAAATTGCCCAAGGAGAGGAAGCCTTATGTTTGGGAATATACGACACCCTTCTCTCACCGCCAAAATTGCCCAAGGAGAGGGAGTCTTATGTTTGGGAATATACGACACCCTTCTCTCTGCGCCAAAATTGCCTAAAGAGAGGGAGTCTTATGTTTGGGAATATACGACACCATTCTCTCGCTGCCAAAATTGCCTAAGGAGAGGGAGTCTTATGTTTGGGAATATACGACACCCTTCTCTCTCCGACAAAATTGCCTAAGGAGAGGGAGTCTTATGCTTGGGAATATACGACACCCTTCTCTCTCCGCCAAAATTGCCTAAAGAGAGAGATGAGGGGGAAAATATAGCAGCGCACTTGCTTTACTTAAATTCCAGCTCTATGGGTTTCACTTTATGTGATTGTTTAGCAAAACTCATATTTTTATGAACTTTATTATCACTATTTTATTTATATCAATATTTGAGACCCATTAGATTAGTATAAATATATTATTATTAATATTTGAAGAAATTGCAACGAATCTTGATTCATTTTTTTTAGGAGAAACGTGGCTCCCTTTTTGCACATGCATGCTATAAAAGCTAGTTTTTCTATAACTGTCATTATTAATATGTTATACCAATCAGATTAGTATAAATATTTGATTAATTATCAGTATCTGATTTTATTATCAACGCTTGAAAATATTGACACTAATTTTAATTCATTATTTTTATGTAAAAACGTGATATCATTTCTTTATATGCTTGTTTAGTAAAACTAGCTTTTATATAACCTTTATTATCAATATTTGATACAAATCAAATAAGTATTAATATTTAAAATATTGCGAACAATTTTATTTCCTATTCTTCTTAAAAAAACAGAGACGGTGTGCTTGTTTAGAAAAAATTCGATTTTCTCTAACTTATTTTTAATACTAGATTAATATTGATATTTAATACTAATCAAATAAATATCAGTATTTTATTAGTTACCGAAGCCAAAATCTTTGATGGTTTTCCATCGATGTACCAACATAATCTTGATAGCAACCAACAATGATTACATCATGAACCATTATATTTTTTAATGGTAACCAACATAAAGTAATCATCATCTCAATGTAGAAATTAGGACTGATTTATGATGGTCCAACATAATAAACCCAAATTTTTTTGATGGTTTGCTCATGTTGTGCCATCACGAATTTCCCTCATAGTATCTTAGAAATCAAATGTTGGAACAATCATGAACAACCATCATCCCAATGTAGGAATTAGGACTGATTTATGATGGTTCAAAATTGTTTTGATGGTATATTCCTGAGAACCAACAAGAATTCCCATTAAACCACCATGGAAATGTATAGTTGAAACCATAATAAATCATCCCGGATCATCATGGATTGTTGGTCCATGACTTCTCTTGATGGTTAACCATCATAGTATTAAGGTAGCACTTTCCATCATGGAATGATAGAAGTTTGTTGGCATATCAAAAACCATGAACACGTAATGGAAAATGTTGGATGATGGTGACTATCAAATGATGTTGAACCATCATGAACAGCACTGAAACCAACATAAATCATCAAAATTTTTTGATGAGACCATCAAGAAATTTGACTTAGGTATTAATATTTGATTTCATTATTAAGAGTTTAAATTATCTCAATTACTTAAGATTCATTATTTTCAGGAAAACTGTGATGCCATTTCTTTATGTGCTTGTTTAAAATATTTAATAACTTTTATTATTAATATTTAGTTAAGTTTTTAAATATTATTTCATGGTTCTGAAAATATAATAAAAATTCTTTGATTGCACTCAAGAGAAAACTGATGTCGAATATGTTTTCGTCAGATGAGCCTTTCCATCTTCATCAATACTTTAGGTAATGACAGCTCATTAATCTTGGCTGAATTAATGAAAAATGAATACGTCGTCAAAGCGAAGGCAATTTCTAATGGTATAATTTTCAGAAACAGTTAACTAATCATAAAACAAGTGTCTCGTGAAATTCTAGATTTAAACGAAGAAAAATATTGAGAAGGTAAAATTAGTTGTCCAATAGGATATTGAATTTATCACGAAAAGTAAAGCATTAAACCTTTGCTGCAATGCTCCATTACTCTTAGATTTTGTTTTTTAAATTTACTTTTTGCTTCTTTTATAGATGTCAAATAAATTTCAAATTGTTTTACTCCAATTCCGATTGAAGTATGATTTAAAATAAAATTCTAATAGAAAGTCAGAAAATGATCTAGTTTATGAAATAAATATTACTTTTGGTTTATGCACTAGTTACACAATGATAAACATTAATCTTTACCTCGAATATAAAATATGATATACTCCATGATCTATTGCTTAAAACTATCAATTTTCTTTCGAAAAATAATTAAATTACTGGGCACATCCAGTTTTAAAATTAAGCTTGATAAAAAGTGCAAAACTGACATTTTTACGCATTTTTAAGTCAAATATGTTTGAATTTATAAATACAAAAAAAATATAGGTTTTGGGACAATATCGTTTAAGTTCCATCTTTTCTAAAGAAGAAATTTTTAAATCAAAATAATCATTAGTATAGCTTCCAGATGGGTAGTAAGTTTTTGGTATTTCAGCTTGACACAATGCATAAAAACATATTATTTAATTGCTTGGAATTGGAGGTTTATTTTTCATCAAAATGTTCTTCTGAACAATTTAAATTGTGGCTTATCATTACAATGCCCAAAGCCCTTTAATTCAATTTAGACAAAATGAAGCTTAATACTTTGAACGTAACATTCGATCGTGATTTTGCACTTCATACATAAAACATACAAATTTAAGAACTTTAAAGATGGTTCTTTATAAAAAAATATTTAACTATAGAAAACAAAGCTATTACTGGAGTTTTACATGAAATAAATTTTGTAATCATGCACAATACAGGAAAACTATAAATATCTGATTAGCATATTTGAATATTCCTTCATCCTTTTGAAATTGTTGGAAGAAGCAAAATATCTCAAAAACTAGATGGGATAAGTAATTCTTGCTCACAGAATTGCATCTTATATAAAAATATCAATTCATACAAAAACTATCAAGGGCTATACGTTAGTGAACTTCGTTAATGCTGTGTTACCACTTATTAAAACTAATTGCTTTCACAATACTGCATTTTTGTTACGAAGAAGTCTTTTGAATCCCTTCTCTACAATGATTCCTTTACAATGATAATGATATTTTTCATGAGCTTCATGCAAGTATCATTTAAACTACTTTGCAAAAACTTAAAAAAAAATAGTTTTCATAAAAAAATATGTTTAGATTGAAATAGTGGAGCCAATATCAAACATAAGTCGATAAATATTGTAGGAATTTTTACCTTTGAAGAGGAAAGGCAGTAAATAAGTTTGTTTATAAAAAATGATAGTCGAAAACCGGACAGCAAATCATTCAGAAATCTATTCCAAAATTATCACAAAAAAAATGATGATAATATTTCTATTTTATGAGATTGATTTTTTGGAGGTAAAAGAACAACAACAATAGTAATATTAATTGAATTGGAACTATTTAAAAGTGGCAGAGATTTCTCTAAGACTCAATTTTTAACTTTAAGTTTAAAATTGACTTTAACTTTCAAACAGAGTTATTAAAACTTTAAGTTTAAACCATATAATAATATCTAAAAATTGTGATAAAAATAAATGCTAAATAATTATACTTTTAAAGGCGTTTTTAAAACAATTAAAAATAATTTAAAATTATTATACTTACTAATATAGGAGGAGGATTTATCCTAAAATACTAGCAGCATGAAAGGGAGAGCTATTATAAAAACTTACAACAAAAACATATAGTTTTTAACAGTAAAATACAATAGAAAAATGTACATAATTGTAAAATTTGCTTAAAAAAGTAAAATAAAGACACATAAAAGAGTATAAAGACAGACACAAAAGCATTTAAATAGCTAATTTTATTTATAAACTAAAATTTGATACAGAGCAAGTAAAACAAAAAAAATATGGCAAAGAAAAATATTTTCTAAACAATATGACACTAAAAATATTGTATAACTTATTCAAACAAGAAATAGCCCATTTAAATAAAATATTATAAGATGAACAAGCATGGCACTTAAAACGCATGCATACATGCTGATTCTAAGTAGTTAGGATACAAAAGTAAACATAAACAAACATATAATTTAAAAACTAAAGTTTCTGTTAAGGCCTATTACACTATACATTGAGTCTTACAAGGTGAAAGAATTGTGAAGATTTCATTAATTTATTAATATGTAGAACTGAATTTCAGATTCATTAGTCCATTATTAATCTTCTAGTAGGTCACGAGTTATTTCCTAGAAATGCGATATTTTTCATTGAATTTTCCCAGTCTTAAGAGTTTAATATTGTATTTAAGAGAGTTTAATTGTAGCGTATCTTTTCAAGGCGTATTGAATTGGAAGCGTATCTTTTCAAGGCGTAAGGATTGATGGCGTATCTTTTCAAGTGAGTAAATGTTAAAACCATATTGTCATTAGCTTAATGTTATTAGTTACAAATAATTTAAAAAGTTTTTACTCTAAAAGAAAAGAAAAAATAACTACAATAACAATTTATAATAATCAAACATTTATAGCAATGATTTAAAAATAATCTAAATCAAATTACTGATATTTCGAATGCATTCATGGCATTAGCACAATAATAAATTGAAAAAAGTAATAAGGTCATCAAAAATATGATTGAAAATTATGTATAGCATGGAACAAATTGGTTTCATAGTCGTTTCACTGCAGAACAAAAGAATTAGAAAAGTTCAAATACTATGAATTTTGAGAAATAAACGGTATTGCGAAAAATGGATTTCAGGCGGCAGCTGAGAATAGACAAAAAAAAAAAANAAAAAAAAAAAAAAAAAAAAAAAAAAAAAAAAAAAAAAAAAAAAAAAAAAAAAAAAGATAGAAGAGGAGGAATAGCTTAGGACTGGTTTTCAACGCACAACTAGGATTGAAAATAAACAAAATTCATCTTTAATTCTCTAAAATATCTCTCATATACGCGTAACTGTTTAAATAAAAAACATTTATTACATAAAAAATATTAAAATCAAGAAGACATTGCAATTCTACAATTCAAGAAAGGAAAATAAGACCTAACTAAGTATTTTAAACAGCCTTCAAAAATATTCTGTACTTTAAGACTCAATGTATTATAAGAAAATAAGTACTTACAAGAAAAGCATTCATAATACGTAAGTATGAAACTTAAAGAATGGCAAAAAATAATGTTAACAACTCATGCATATAATTAGCTGCGTAACTTAATAAAAAAGTTGGAAATAAGTTGCATTAACTAATTTTTTAATGTATAAAGTTACAATAAAAAAAGGGAAAATTTGTTCAAAATCACAAATTTTGAAAGTATATATACATGTATATATGTAGATGAATTGAATTAAAAAAATAGGAAATTTTTTTCTAACATAAATTTTGTCACTTAATTGACTTAAACCTCTTATGATTACATTGTGTTTGGCCAAATTTTTTTTCTTCCAATTTTCAAAACATTTATAATATTAATAATATATCATTTATAGTGATTTATTAACTCATTTTTGTAAAAACTCTCTAGGACTCTAAGAATATTTCCTTTTATTGAATCAATGGTTTCAAAATGAGGATTATAAATATAATTTTTTATAAAATAAAATTTTTTTTAACTTGCTGCTTAACTGAACCAAATATTGTTCAAAGCAGAAAAAAAGTATATTAAATGTAACGAAAATTATGAAAAATTAATGATTCTTTAAGAACTTGAGAGGTAACCTAAGATAAAATCTAACTGGTGTAAAAACTAAAGTGAATAATTTTTTTAATACTTTTAGGCGTTAACATTTTAATTCTATTTGTCTAGTTATTCGAATTAAACAGTTTCAACTTAGAGCTAATTTAATCAACAAGAAATTTTTAAAAGCAGTACTGATATAAATATTATAAAAACTAAGTTATATTTTTCATGAAAAATATTACTCAACGTTTTAAAAAATTTAAAAATTATTAAGGTTAAAAAATGCTCTATATTTCAATTTAAAAATGAAAAAAAAATGGCAAGAAAAGTTTGAAAGGAAATTAATATGCTGAAACAAAGATTCACCCCGCTAACATTTTTTACAACTGTAGAAAATAATAATAATAAAAAACAAATGTTTGGCACAGCCGTATTATGGAAAAATTGCATGAAGGTAATGTACTGATAAATCAATATAAGTAGAGTGAGAATGGAATGAAACATTTTAGAAATGACATACATGCCAATCAGCTGACATATATGACAATTATGGCAATTAGATCACATAAATAAATGATTTTCGCATTAATTAGAAGGTTATTTTAAACGGATTACAGTTAAATCTAAATAGAGCATAAAAAACAATCAATCTTTTTTATCATTAAATTTTAAATAAAATGAAATAGAATGAAAAAGAAAATGAAACGTTTCAGTCAAAAGAATAGAAAATACATAAACAATATGACAAGAAATAACTTTAAAATCAAAAATTAAGTATTTTTTTTTATATCTCATTTCGCAAACTCATTTTGGAAGTTGTTGTACTTTCTTGGTCACAATTCTTTTGGATATTAACTATTATCCTTTCAACAAGAATCACCTCCAGCACATATAATTAAAGGAATTTAAAAAAATGGCACAATGCGAATTTTTCCAATTTTCTCAGAAAAAATCTTTTTGAAAAATTAATTACTAGATTTGATCCTTTTGGTTCAGTATTTGTGCTAAATTTCATAAGACTTTCAATTCCGTGTGCAATGAAAAAGACATAATATCAGTCGTTGAGTTGAGTTAAAAACAGAGTATTTTATAACACGTTTATAGCTCTGTATTAAGACCAAAGCTCTACAAATTTGAAAATGTTTTATAGGTAGTCGTGTCTACATTAGTTAAAAGTTTGATCATGAAATTTTAATATGTATTGAAATTTTGCAATACATGTGTTTAAATTATTTCTTGTCACTTTGTAATCTATCATCGATTGTGCGTTTTTATGCTTCTCATTCTCACAAAAAACATGACAAATAAGTCGTAACAAATGTGATGCTTTCAAGCATAGCAATCAGCAGACTAAGTTAATGGCATTTTGTTGCATGCACCTCATGCAGACACAAAAAAGATAACACATAAAAAAAACATCATTTAAAATATAATACAAAGTATTAGAATGGTAGCTCTTGTTTATTGCCCAAAGAAAACAAATAATTTTTTTGCAACAGATAAAAGTTGTTGTAAATATATATCTAGGGAATGTTTCTGTTTTCAGTAATAATATTATTATAATGAGTCAGAATAATTTTTTTACTTAGTTTATATTTGTAGGTGTATATTTTTAAAATATACAGTTTAGTTCTAGATGAAAAGAGGTATTGAAATTCATTTCATAGTCTTCCCTTTCAATTACAATAAAGCAATACTTGAGAGTGATATTCACGAATGCTTTGCGGTAGTAATTTTTTTTTCTTGGATCAGAATTGTTAAGATTTTTTCCCGTTTTTATAACTACAGGAAGATGTAGCCAAATTCGTACATTGAAAAGCATTCTAAAAAACAATCTAAGATGATAAGTAGAAACAAAATTTGAATTAAATAGATTATTAAACTCCAGTTTATGTTCTTTTTTATTTTAGAATTTGATGAAAGGTACAATAATAGATAAAAATAGAAGTTTTAAATGACTTTCTTATTTTTTCATGAAAATAAAGGAACGTAGCATCATTTATACAAGTTTATAATTAAAAATGCTTAATGCATAGCGCTTAGTAATCAATTGCTTAAATGTATATTTTTTGAACAATTGATAAAAATGAATTAAATAGGGATTAGGGGTTGCACATTAATATTTAAGAAATAAATAAACAAAAACTAATAATTAAATATTAATATGCGGAGATTCTTAACATGTAACTTTGCTGATTTTATTTTTGATAAATATTTTAAAAGTGTGTATTAATGGTGTAGATTATTAAACGTTCCACATAACACATTAAATAGAATAAAATTCTAATTGTATGGAAAGAAAATTCTCTTAATTTCAAATAATGCACAAATTTCGAATTATATCTAGTGACACTTCAATAAAACTAATAATACAATTTAAATTTTTAACGGAATTTTTGTTTAAAAATAACGCTGTATTAGAATAACATAATTCGGTAGGCTTAAACAAAAACAAAGCCCCCAAAAATTAAAAAAGCAAAAAAATTAAGTCTTATTTACGAAAAAATCATCTATAATTATTTAAAAAAATTTAATCTTAGAAATATTTTTAAAGTGGACTGGAAAAGAATCTTAAAAATATAGAATCCTAATGGTATAAATTAGATCCATTTCTGTCTTAATTTAAGTTTATTTTTACGAGAACAAAATTAAAACGTGACATTATCAAGTGAGTCATGCGGAAATACGAACATTCGCAACAATTTCATTCCAATTTAAAAACCAGCAAAGCACAAATTATTCAATAACGGTAATTAGCTTTTTTTTTTTTTAGAAAAAAAGGATGCTTCTATAAAGGCAGAGGCATTCATAAAGTAGAACAATTTAAACGCGTAGTCCTTGACAGAATGCCCGCAAGGTTTCAGGCAACTCATTAGCATATAAAAATTTTACCTCACAAGGAGGGGGAGCACTTCGATAACTTGGAACTATTTTGAACGTCACGCTTCCGCGAGCATCACGCTGAAAGAAAATAAAAAATGAACGAAAAATATTACATATACAACCTTTTAATTAATTTGTATAAACATAAATCCTTCATTAGAATTGAGAGAAAAAAAATGTATCAATACCAGCATGCGTTGCAGACTTTCAACAGACTGATTTGCTACACTAACACCATTGATTTCTCGAATTTCATCACCGACGTGAAGAGTGGCTAGAAAAAATAAAAATGAATGATAAAACACAGCCGATAAATGCATGATTTCTAATTTATTTAAAATACCGGGTGCCCCAAGAGTGACCAATGTTTTGACCAATCAATTAAAGCAAAATGGTAGGAGGAAGGGGAAATACTGCGTTTTACTTAGGAGAACACAAATTTATTTTAAGTACTGAAATAAGACGCCAAGTTGATACCTAGACGGCACTTTTAATTGAGAAGAACTATTGTTTTCAAAATAACCACGATTTGTTGCAACATTGTAGCACTGTAGTTAGAGGACAAAAGTGTTTTACAGAAGAAGTAGTTTAGAAAAGAACAAAATGTATAGTTTTACGGTTAAAACACTTTAAGCACTGTTTTATAATTTTTCCAGTCAACAACACTGTCTGTTGACATACTGTGTAATTAATATTAAAACATAGCGAAAATAAATATTTTGCATTATTAAGTAGCAAGCAACTGTGCATTTTTATTTTTTCTTCAGTTTTCAATTTTTTTTGTTTTTTTGTCGTATGCCTGTTTAGGCAGTGGGGGTGCGATTGTTCCTGTTTTTCAGTGGCGCCATCTATGAACAGGAATTCGACTCCTGCCACGCCATTCACACATCCACAACCCGTTTATAGGGTAGGCCACATTCACTTACAAAAGAGAAAGGACATAACAGGAAAGGGCAAAGGAGGAGGAACACACGCACAGGAAGGAAACATCCATGCCTTGCCCGGGATTCGAACCCAGGAAGTTTTCCAAATCGTCGATCGTTATTCGAACACAAGTAGTTTATAATCCAATGGAAAAAATAATAATATAGTGATCATATTTGAATAAGTTTATAACTTTTAGCTTTGATCTAAAAAGCGTAATTTCAGTTATAAGTATATAATATTACTTGAATCAAGGGGTGGATATTAAAAGCGTGAATAAATAAGTAGTGTTCACGATATTTTAAGATACAATAGCAATAAAAATGTTTAATATCTGAATGGATCTGAATTTTTATCTACGATATATGGTTAGCTTCCATTTATAAAATATGATTCAAATAGTTTATTTAGAAGAACAATCGAAGCCTTTTTATGTAATTTTATCTTTTGCATATTTCACCATATTTCTAAAACTATGTGAATCAAAATTTTTCATCACAATTTTTAAGTTTGTTTATCTAACGAAATTCCATTCAAAGAATACGTTTTGATGAATATTTTTTTACTACTTAATTCAACAATGTATTATTATTTTTTGTTTAAAAAATGAGTTGCAAGTCCTGAAGTGTTTAAAATTGTTTTCATCTATGTATTTTTTAAATATCGAAATTCGAAATTTGCGACCATCCCAATAAAAATTCCTCATTGAAAATAATCAAAATAAGTAATAAAAAAATAACAAATTGGATATACACAATATTTAATAGCAGGATGAATAACTGAATCTCAAAAAGCTAAAATCGATAAATGAAAGTCAATTCCCACTTAAGTAAACTAAATATCACCGTATCGCTTTGGTTAAATTTAAATAAATTAGTTTCGCTACGTATTTTATTATTTGCTATATTCTCTTAAGACGGAAATAAATCGATTTAAAATAATTTAAAAGTAATATTCACCCATGGAGAAACAAACACGCCCCAATCTAAATAATATGAAAAGTTTGCTTTTGATGAATTTAGAATTTTTAGAAAGCTCCGCCATGGGTTCATTTCGCTCCCCACCACCAGTAGTTGCTGCTCATTCATCATTGCTTTTATTATTAAAAATCAATGAAAAAAGATTTTATTTATGAAATATATAATTATTATACCTCTATGAAAGCAAATTTTATTAATATGTTAGACGTAACGAAATAAAAGGATACCTGTATTTTAAAAATAATCAACTGTACTTGAAAAATAAATAAAAATTCGGAATATAGAATGGGTGATACAATAAGAAGTAATAAATGAGAAATAATTTTACTTGTTAACGATATACAACGAAAACTTTATTCCATATAACAGTTTGGTATTGGGGAAACAGTTTTTATCTTTCTTCAATATTTGCATTTTTAAAAATTTCGATAGAAATGCTAAGATTTATATTTGGCTAATCTCTCTCTGTAATTTTTATTCGGGTTACTTTTGAAATTAAGTCAAGCACGAGTTTATAAAATGAAAAACGCAAATGAGACAACTGAGAAAATATTATTTAAAAAAAATATAATTACAAAAAAGCACTTAAAATTGCCATAACTTTTGAACGTTAATTTTACAATTCATCAGCATGTCGAATTTCAACTCTGCAGCTGCACTTCAGCTGGCAGTATATCAACCAATATGGTGTTTTCCTACAGACAATAATTTTTAACGAATAATCAGATCTTAATTTTTTTATTCCATCAAACTTTCTAAATATTTTCCAAGTCTTACTTACAGTGTTTGAGCGGGAAAGCAAAATGAAACGTAAAACAAAAAAAAAAGTGGGATAAAAGTCGCAAAAAGCACTTAAAATTGCACAGACTTTCGAACAAATTAGAATTTCGAAAAAAACAAACAAACAACTCAGTACCAAGTTAATAAACAAATATACCCCTATCAGCATGTTTAATTTGAGCTCTGTAGTTGCAATTACAGAGTTCAATTTGAATTCTAGTTCCTGCGATCTGTAGAGCGGTCCCTAAAGTTTTTCTTTCAAATTTATTAGTTTATAATTCTTAAATTAATTATCGGATGTTAAATTTTTTTTATTCCATCGTAATTCCTGCATATTTTTATATTTCTCTACACACCTTCTGAATTTCAAATTTCCAACTCTTATAGTGGCAAACCAAAATGTAACGTTAAGTTCAACAACCAAAACAGCGGCAGCGGCGGCCTTTACGATTTTTTAATACAGAGATATATAAAATTTAGACGTTTTTGAAAGATAATAAGGGTTTTTTTTCTGTTTGATATTCTAAACAGCGCACCAATAATGAATAAAACGCATTCTTACACATTGTTAGAAATTTGTTAATTTGCTGAACCATATTATTTAGACATTTGCTTTAAACTTAACATAAAGTTGAAGAACATTATCATTCAAATCAATTTTTCGCAATCTTGATCCACTTCAATTTAACTTGAATGAAAATAGGATTAAATTTAACACTTTAAAATTGCAGAAATTTTGTACGGTATAGTGGTTCAAATATGGTTTCTTTGAGCGCTTTATGTTTAGTTGATTAGTTTAAAACGATTTATTATGAGTTATAAAAATACCCTTTCAGGGAAGATAAATAGCAATAAAATATTTTCGATTTCAAAAAATTTTAGGAAAATTTCAGAAAATGCGATAAATAGAAGTTTAAAAGAGCAGCAGCATTATCTTAATTTGAAAAATAAAACTTAATTTAGACTGAAAATGATTTTTTCGATTAAGAAAAAAAAAGTATCTTACCTTGTCGATGTATCATGCCTCCATGCATTATTCTAGCCACAATACAACGACCCTCTTCATCCACTTTTAAAGTGATACCCTACAGACAGAACATGAATTGAATAAAAAGTGATACCCTACAGACAGAATATGAATTGAATAAAAAGTGATACCCTACAGACAGAACATGAATTAAATAAATATTATCTAAAATTTAAAACTATTTTATAATTACAATAAAAATATACAAGAAACATATTTATTGACAAAAAAAAAAACCAAGAATTATAAAAAGAGGCATAAAAAAAGAAATTTCAATTTACAAGTAATATTTGTTTTTTTACATTTATATTACTTTTTCTTTAGCTCTTATTCAATATATATCCAATTAAAAAAAAACAGCTTAACGTTGAACCATATTATCGATACTTTAAACACTACAACAGTACAAATTTATTGATATAATATTGTATTAAATATAATTGATACAATATTGTCCAAATTATATTAAAACAATATTGTTCAATGTAGTATATATTAATTTAGAAGTAAATTCGAACAATATTATAGCTTCAAAATTCCAACAGTGTATTAAACCTTGAATGAATATTCATTCTTGGACCTTAGTGAATAAATTTTGCTTTGAGATGCTCAATTCATAGCTTTTTAAGTTTAAGGTTTTTTTAAGGATGTAAATTATCGATTTCGAAAATCAATTTTTCATGAGGCATCGATATTAGCTTAATGTTATTAAGATAAAGTTCATTAGTAAAATTACAATCATTACAAAAACAGTTTTGTTAGAAACTATAACAAAAAGATTACGATAAGAATACATTTTCAATCTTTTAACCCTTTGACACAGTTAGGATAACGGTGTCCCTTTTACATATTTTTTTTCAGACACTCTAATAAGTTATTGTTGCTGTTGTCCTTTGCCACTTGTCAATACTAATAAGCCTATTTTAGGGCAAAGGGGTGCGCTTCTTGTTGTCCAGTGAAGCCATCGATGGCCAAGAATTCGATTTCTGCCACACACGTACGTTACAGCCCGTTTTACAGGGAGGACACATTCACACACCATTAATCCATCCGCATGTCGTAATTTTGACCTGAACCAAAGCACGATCAATCTCCGATCCAGTACCCCTAGAGGTATTGATTTGTAATGGGAATTTAGAGGACATTAGGACCCCGACAGATTTAGCGTGCATCAGACACCATTTTGTACATCATTTGGAGAGTCTTCGGTCAGTAGCAATAAAACTCACGAACTCGTGGACATGGGTACAACGTCCTACCAACCAGGATATCCCGGCTCTATTTACAAGTAAAAATATATTTTTATATTTTTTAATTATAAAAAACAATCTAATAGTAGCTAAAAAATATTTTAGATTATCGGAATTATATTTGTACTAAAATATAAAATTAAAAAAAAAGTAATCAGAAAATTTTGATTTTGATTTATTTTTCAAAGTTTATCGGTAATTGATTTTGTAAATTAAAGAAATTGCAATGATAAATAAATGTTTCTCTTAGATTTAAGTAACTGCAAATGAGTGCACATTTAAAAAATTATTGTTTGAAATTAAGCCGTGTTTGAAGGATTTTATCTTTAACGCAGAAAAAGACAGTGTTTCATGCTGTATTTCATAATCATAAATTATTAAAATGCTAAATATAATATTTTAAATTTATTTTGATCTAAATTAGTACAAAATAATGAAAAATATGTTTAATAAAAATTCTACGTCAATTGGTTTAGAGAGTAAAACGGGTTAAATCAATTTCCACTTCTGACGCATGCAACATTCAAACTACCTCATTAAGGTTCTCAGGCATTTGTTTGTTTCGAGATTAACAGAGGTTTAGAAAGCAGCTTATTCTCTTTGCTTAAAAATCCTTTCCTTTCCACTGTTTTAATGAATGAAAATTTTTATGAATTTCATTTAATCTCCTAAAGAACGTTTTGTTGTTCGAAATAAAAAAGATCAAAAGACAAATAACTGGTTTATCTAGTGTGAGACTCAGAAACATCAGTGCAATGACTTAAATAAATATTAGTGTGATGAATTAATTAGTGTTTTCTTTTAAACCGACTAATTGTAGGGGTTGTTGTAGAAAAAAATATATGAAATGAAAGAATGACTATACAAATGCGGCGTCTGAATACATTGAAGTAGGTATACACATTTAAATGAGATACCAACAACTTCTAAATCGAGGAGTTAAGAGTTCCTATCTCGGAAATGGCGCTAGATAAGAAAAAATTTAATGATACAGTCGTAGAATATCAAGATTTTATACGCATAGCAGCCTCGTGGATTAATACTAAAAATAAGAAGCTTAAAATAACACAAGTTCTAACTAGTTATCTCTAGATATCTTTTTTTTCTTCAAGATATCAGTGAGATTAAATATACGACTTTTTTAAAAATCGATAATTTCTCAAGAACTATTCGATTACTGTGGTCAAATTTTATATTTTTCCAGGTATATTTAAATTCTTGGTTGGTTCTAATGCCACTTGCCACATGGGCTGCTTGGTGAAACCGAGCAAATTTAAGGCAGAGTGTGCGATTCTTGATTTTCAGTGGCGCCATTTATGGCAAAGAATTCGACTTCTGCCACATCATACGTCATACCTGTTTATAAGGCTGACCCATTCATACATCCATTCATTCATCCACACATCGTAATTTTGACCTGAATCAGAGAACAATCGATCTGCAATCCAATACCCTCAGAGGTATTGATTTGTTATGGGAAGAGGACTTTGCGACTCGACAGAATTTTAACGTGCATCAGTCACCAATTACACAGGGAGTCTTCGGCAGGCGGGGTTCGAGCCCACGAACCCTCCGACATGGGTCCAGCGCCCTACCGACCAGGCTGTCCCGGCTCCTTTAAATTCTTTAACATAATGTAAACAAATCGTATACTTCACAATCCAAAATTTTCTTTGACTATTCTTAAACAATACAATAAAAAATAATAAATGCATACAAAATCTTTTTTTTTCGCATGGAAATATCTTTGACTTAACGAATTTTATAATTGCCTGCAATTTCATTTTAAATTGCTTAAAAAACTCTCGAGATATGGCGAAAAGTAATATCAATATCAAAGTAATATCAATATTAAGAGATTCAAACTTTATATCACTCTCCTGATTAAACTATTGGGACCATATTTCCCAGAGTGCGGCTACCTCCTATATTTCAGGGGTTAGGAACCCGAATTCGTTGGGAAAATGGTATGTTTATATAGAGAAATTACGTTTTTGTGTCTGATTTCGTCACTTAAAATACTACCTGAGCTAATTAATTAGCATATTTAAGATCCCTCCTTTGGATGATTAAGATTAAGTCCTAGAACGAGAAGATCCGATCATTAGATCAAACGTTATTCAGGGTAGTCTATTTATTATTTTTTTAGCATATGTTTCTATAAAATGTCTTTTCATACTAAATCTATGACAGTTTTTACAACTTTGCATTTCAGCAATTTTTTCTTTATCCCCTCCTAGCATTTCCGAGATAGGAACGTTGATTCTGGAGTTTTTCCTCAGGTGGTGCTGTTACTGGTCTTCGGTCTCATCTAACAACGCACAGCCCTTTTACAATACACATAAACTTTCTTTTTTACTATGGCTGCAGGCAGTTAAAAATGTGGATACCGACTTTGGTGGGCACCCTACACATAAAATATTTAAGTTCGAAATTCTACTGAAAAGACTCTTTAAATAGAGATGGCAGATAAAAAAAAGAAGCTGCCCATATATTTTTCACCGTCAAGTCGATGTGATGAATAGAATCTTCGTCTACCATTTCTTGGACGGCGATTTGATTCCTATCCCATGTTAAAGGCTGGTGTTGGATTGTAATTTCTTTAATAGTATCTAAGTTACTCGAAATTCACTCGAACGTGAAGATCTCAACAGTTTCCAAGACAGTTAAGTCCACACATGGTTGGGTTGCATGGTGCGGAGGCCGTTTGATTACTACTACTCTATGCACTCTTATTTAAGTTGACGTAGTGTAGTTAACGCATGCGCCAGTATTGTCTTCGAATCATCATTAAAGATATTGACCGTTGAGAATAGCACATTAGAGTAGTTTTAGTACTATGTTCACAAATTAACCACTTAATAAATTTTTCAATACATTTTATTTTACGATTTTGCTTTTGAGGTTTATTATTTTTGTGGGATGGCCGTCATAGGATTCATAATAAATATACAGACATGAACCGAAAGAATCAAATTAAGCTATATGCGTCAAGATTAAACTAATAAATAAAAAGAGATTGGCGAATCGTATAAAAAAGGGAAGCTTTGTTTCCATATCTTTGAACATTATATTGTGTCACGTGTGGACAACATATTAGACTATAAATAAATAATCATAACACTCTGACCTTAAGTTGCAAGTCGGGCAGAATATCAACTGGCGCACGGCCAGACTCTCTCTCCAAACATTGACAAAACTCCCGGCAAAATGAAACTTTTCATGTTTTACAGGAAACTAAGTATCTCGACAACGCCATTTGTACCTTTTAACACTCTCTTTAATCTTAAAGTCAAATCTACGCAGCTGATAACTTATGCGGAGAAGAAAAAAAAAGCACAAAAGGTTAAGTACTTCACGAAAAGAAATAATGAGAAGTCGATAAATTCCAAGCGTTCTCATTTTTTTTGAAGGCATATTTAAGAAACATCACAGGTTTACATCACACTTATGTTGGAAGAATTGTATTTCTTTAAAGAAACATATTAATGAAGAAATATGTACTGTTAGAAGAACAATATGTCTGTTAAATATTTGCTTTCAAAAGGTGTTTCCTTTTTAATAAATTTCTAGCTAGTTCTTAATAATTAAATTAATTGAGGAATTTGTAATCCGGCAGTCTGTCAGGCACCAGACGTTATTTTATTTTTAGAATAATCATCAGGTTTTAATCTTTTCACCGAATGGGAAATAGTGTAATTTATAAATCTTATATCTCTAGTTTCAGATTAGGAGTGGATGTAAATAATATATCCGCTATGTCTTGTGTTGAAATGTTCTTTCAGAATAATTTTTCGAACTGTTTATT